GTAAGTAAAAGGTAGTGCCTAGGGGGGGGGCGGCTACTAGTAGTAGTAGTAGTAGTAGTAGTAGCAGTAGTAGTAGTAGTAGTAGTAGTCGTCGTAGTAGTAGTAGTAGTAGTTGTTGTTGTTGTGGTGGTGGTGGTGGTGGTGGTGCTGGTGGTGGTGGTGGTGGTGCTGGTGGTGCTGGTGGTGCTGGTGGTGCTGGTGGTGGTGCTGCTGCTGCTAGTTGTTTGCGTGCGCTTCCTTGTTGACCGGTATGTTTTCATAGTCATGGAGGTTGTGCGGATCATACTGTTTGCAAATGGGTTGGCTGCGCACTCCCCAACGCTTGAGGCTATCCATACTTGCAATAAAACGCAAGCATCAAGTCATCACCATGTTTGCAGTAAGGAAAGTTGTGCGGATCATATTGTTTGCAAATTGGGGCGGCTGCGCCTCCCCAACCCCCTCGCTTTTTTTTTTTTGAGGCAATCCATGCTTGCAATAAAAAGAAGCATCGTGTCATCACCATGTTTGCAGTAAAGGAAGGTTGTGCGGATCATGTTGGCCCCCGCGCCCCACCGCCTGCATCCGAAACAGCGAGGTGGGAGGGGAAAAATTGAGGCCATCCATGCTCGCTAGAAAAAGAAGCATCACAGCATCATGAAATCACCATGTTTGCAGGAAGGGAAAATTGCTCGGATCATTTTGTTCGCCCCAGCCCCCGCGCCTTTTTCAGTCATTCAGGCGTGCAATACAAAGAAGCGTGGTGTCATCACCATATTCCCAGTAAGGGAATATTGTGCCGGATTGTTTTGTTTGCAAACGGGGTCTGCGCGGCCACCTCACCCCCCCCCGACTTTCAAAAGCCCTCAATGCTTGCAACAAGAAAGAAGTATCATGTCGTCACCATGTTTGCGGTAAGGGAATGTTGTGCGTTTGCAAACGGGAAGCCACCACGTGACGGTCCACGCTCTTTTCAATCCACAAGGATCCAACAGCGACGACAGTGACGAGGATTGCGACCCCGACCCCCACGATCCTTGTGGCTGTGATTGTGGACGTTTTCAAACTCCACGAAGATCCGAGTGTCCAAAAACGATGACAGTTATGCGGATTGCAACCCTAACCCGCACGATCCCTGTGCCTGTTGACACTTTTCACTTGCCAAGTGATCCGAGCCCGACCCCCGCGATCCCTGTGACTGTCCACAATTGGCAATTGGAATCATTTTTTGATTACTTACATCGATTTATTTTTCCATCTCCAAATTTTTAAGTTGTTTTTTGATTCTATTTGTTTGATACGTCACTTTCCATCCATCTGGTGCAGCCGCCGTCGAACATGGATGCTCTAGTCATCGAGTGCAGTGGCAAATGGAGATTTTATTATCCTCCGGGAATGGATGCTCTGTTCATCGGGCGCAGTTGAACATGGATATTATTGATATTCTTTTCGTCTGGGTATGGATGCTGGAATTATCGGACTTAGACAAGATGCACAGCGGCTTCAACAGAAACAGCTGCGTTGTCTGCTTGATTGGCCAGGTCCGGTGGCGTGCTGCCATCAGACGGGTGCAAGCAAGCGCCCCACATGGCTGACCAAAAGAATGCTTGACAACGGGGTTGTGGGAGCAAGCGGCCTACTACTACTACTACTACTACTACTACTACTACTGCTACAACTTCTACTACCACCACCGGCGCCGCAATGATGACCGCCGCAGCGACACGACGACGACGAAGACGACGACGACGACGACGACGACGAAGACGACGGCGGTGGCGGACGACTACTGATGCCTGCGTTACTACTGGTGCTACTGCTGCAGCTGTGTGATCACAAGCCCTGAAAGGTGGTTTTCATGAAGAGCGCAACCAAACACAAAGACCACCAAACAAAAGATCTAAAAACAAACAATCGCATTCTGGGTCCCCTGTTTCAGGACCCAGACAAGTTTTCACCGTGGACATGGCGAAAACAGCCCGGCACCCGGATTTGCTGCTGGGTAGTTTAGCTTGGTTAGGCTTATGTGTCAAAGCTGCACGGAGTTTGTTCTCCGTCCGAGGCACAATTACTTCCTAGACCGGGGAGCAAAGTACTGCCGGCATGCCTTGCTTTGTTTTGGGTCAGAACCGCGCGGCCTATAATGTAGGCAAGCGATGACAGGCAGCACAACATATCTATAAGATCGGGCGACAAGATCTTGCATTGAGATGTGGTGTTGTTTTGTGAGACCTGATCTTCAAGGTTCATGATTGTGTACAAGACGCCCACCATCGTGAGCACAGATCTATTTGACTTGGAGAAGCCAGTGGCTCAGTTGAGGGCACCGCTGTCTTGATTTGCGGTCACTGTTAAGCCTGTTAAGCTCAGACTTCTGGAACAGATCTAGGTTTGGTTGCTTCCAAGTGCGTGGCTTCCAAGGAGGAGAAGGCGCATACATTCGCTCTGTTGCGCGCGCAGTTAAACAAGCCACACCTCCTTTTCTTGGGCATCAGCTCAACTTAGCTCTGCCATTGGGTTTGGGGCCCAGCCGCATGGAGGGCGGGGGCTTCCAAGTCCAGCACGGATAATACAAATCGCGAGGGCAAGTGTGCACTGTTCATCGAGGACTGGCACCTCTGATGGTTTTAAAAGGGTGGGAACGAATGGCAAGGATCACCTTCCACACAAACGTAGGACATGCCACCCTATTCATGCTTCCGGTGGGAAGGAGAGGGGCAGGTCATCGTCCAGCAATATGCCGCCTCTTTAGGTTTTGGGTGTGATTTACTTGATTTGCTCGACATCAATTAAGCCATAGTATGGGGGGAATGCTGAAGATTTGGCATCGATTCAGTTTCAGGGCTGAGGTTGTTCAGGAATCAGTGTTCGGGACCGCTTTGGGATGCAGGTTTGAGGTTGCTGAGGTTGTTGGTTTGGGTTGTCAAGGGTTGAGGGCTTTTGGGTTGGGGTTTGGGCTTTTAGGCTTCAGGCTTTGGGGTGTTCAGCTTGTATGCAAAAAGGGTCTGACTACTGCGCGAAGCCCAGATGCCAAAAGGGTTTGCGATTGCTTTGGGTCTTGGGCTTTGGGCTTGGGGTTGTCTAGGATCAGGGCTCAAGGCTGCCGAATCGCCTGGCGAAATGCTCAGACCGGTGGTGAAAAACCTAGTCCGTGTACTGACTGGCCGCATTTGCTGCCGGGTTTGGGCTCCTGCAGGGTCAAGTGCAGTGTTTAAGGTTTTTTAGGCTTCAAGGCTCCACCAAGGTTGTTCAGGGTTGCTCAAGGCTGCCGGCTTGAGCTTGTTTAGGAGATATGCGGTTTGGAAAAGCGTCTGGGGGCTGCATAGGGTTGTAGGATTAGAGGTTGTTTGCTTTGGGTTTGGCGGAAGTTATTCAGTTCCTGGGAGCCATCAGAGCTTTGGATTGCTTTGGATTCCGGATTTAGGGTTGCTGAGGGCTAGCAGAATTTGAGGGCTGTTCAGGGTCCAGGGCTTGGGGTTGTTTAGGGTTGGGGCTTGGGCTTGGGGCTGCTTTACTTTTAAAGCTTGGCATGGGACTGGGTCCAGGGCCTTAGGTTTGGGGTTTTCAGGGCTTGTATAAGGTTCAAGGTTCTAAGAATGTTTGGTGTGGCGCCCCAGTAATCCGTGTCTTGGTCTGCAAAGAAGTCCTGTGCCTGGCATCAACGAGACCAGATGCAAAAAATCATGTTCGGGACATTTCGTGTTTAGGTTTTGTGGTTGTTTGGGAAGGAATTCTTGGGGCTTATTTAGGATGCAGGGGCGTTTAGGGTCCAAGGTTGTTTACGGTATAAGGTTTGGGATTGTTCTGGGTACAGGTGTGTAGCGTGGGCGGGGTGGGGAAGCGGGAGGAACGCTGTCACAGGGGGATCGTTTGGGGTGGAGGTTTTGGCATTGTTCAGGGTTGGGGGCTGTTTCGGGATCTAGAAATCCAGCCATTGGGGTTCGGGGTTGCCTTGCAGGTTTCAGGTGATTACGGGTTTAGGGCTTGGGGAGTTCAGGGTTTGGGGCTTCTTCTAGCAGCCTCGCAGCTGGAGCCTGGAGTGGGGCGGTGGAGAAGCCTGCAAAAAAGGCTTCTTCTAGTTCAGGCCTTGCTGTTGTTTAGGCTTTACGGCTTCAGGTTGCTGAGGGTTTAACCTTCAGGTAGAACCAAGTCATTCTGATTGGAAGTGTTTTCCATGACGTGACAGGAAGCCACAGGACAAATAGGAAATGTACGTATCCAGATACGACATGAAAACACAAAGACACAAAACGAACCCACGCGGCTTAAGACATGACGCAACGCGGGTAAAGGGGTCGCTTAGCAAAGATTTTTCTGGGTCGCTTAGCAAACGTTTTCTTGGGTTGCTTGGGACCTTTTTCTGGCCGCTTGTCTGCAGCCATGTGGTTTCTTGGACCGTAAATCTGACACCCTAAAGCCTAAACCTTAAACAATAAAGCCTAAACCATTAAACAAAAGCGTAAACCTTAAGTCCTAATTCCGAAGCCCTAAACCCTACATCCAAAAGCCCTAAACCATCCAAAGCCCCTAAACCCTAAACCCTAAATCCGAAACCACTAAACCCTTATAAATCCAAGATCCCTAAACCCTTATAAATCCAAAACACTCCTAAACCCCAAACCCTAAATCCAAAAACCTTTAAACCCATATAAATCCAAAATCCCTAAACCATTTACATTTATAGATCCAAAAACCCCAACCCCTAAACCCTACATCCAAAACCCCTAAACCCTTAACCCTAAATACAAAATCCCTAAACCCGAAATCCAAAACCCCTAAACCCTTAGCCGTAAATCCGAACCCCCAAAAACCCCAAAACCCTAAGTCCAAAACCCCTAAACCCTAAACCCTACATCCAAAACCCCTAAACCCCAAACCCTAACTCCTAAACCCTAAACCCTAAATCCCAAACCCCTAAACCCTAAATCCAAATCCCCTAAACGCTATGTCCAAGCCCGTTCAGGCTGTCCCAGAATCCTGAATTGGCCAAGTGAGACGAAAAAATGTTTGCTAAGTGACCCGAAATGGTGCGGGATCCGAATTGGCTAAGTGACGAGCAAAAATGTTTCCTAAGTGAGCCCGGAACTTCAACGTGCGATACAAGACAGAAGAGACATGACTCGCTGGACAGCATATGCAAGACAAGGCACAGCACGAGAACACACGACAGGATACGAGACGAAACGACATGCACACGTCGAGACAGGATACGCAGACCAGTGTGTAGCGTACTGTTGCAAACGCCGCCTTGCATGTTTAGGATGGCCTGGAACCATCACAAATAGGGTTTGCGTAGCAACCCCGCGCCAGAGGATTATGCGCTGGCGCTCCGCGGAGCTAAGTAGTTTGGTTCTGCGCAAAGTGTAAAGAAGAGCTGCAACTGGCTGTACAGCCATCTTGGCTGAAAGAGCAGCAGGCCTCGACTACTTCGCGAAGGCTGCTGCCAGTGGATTGGGCGTCAAACAGGCAAAGCTTGAGTTCAAGCATTGAGCAGCATGCTGCCAGCCCAGCTTGACAGAAGTTGCAATGGGGTCCGTGCTTCTGTCACTAGGCTCATGGTTCTTGGCGGGATGCAGATGGCTGGTTGTTTTCGGAAAAAATCATAAACTTGCGTTGTCCATGAGCATAGTAAACCATGATTTCAGGAATGAGCGAAGGATCGCAGGCAGGAAAGGAAGGAGAGAAGAACGGAAGCAAGGAACCGGGCCATCCTTTTTAGCATGACTCTTGCCACTTGTCGTTCTGGTATCTGCTGGTGTCTTTCTCCACGCTTTTTGTCCTGCTTGCAAGTCTGTTTCACCCTTTGTAATATGGGCCCTGCTGGGGGAGGAGACTCTTCGTTCTGCCTGTTTTGCAACTCTGCCAGGTCTATTTCTGCCAGTGTGAGTGTGGTGGGGGTTCAAGAAGTCAGCTCCGCGACATGACTTGTGGGGCATTCAGTACTGTACCAATTGAAGTACAATGAAGTGCTGTGGCTGTAAAGAGTGGACCAACACCCCTTGGAAATTAGCCTGTGCACACTTCTCGGGGACCTCCCACTACCTCACCCCTTGAAAGGGGGCTGTATTCCTTTTCTCCCTAGTACCTGGACCTTCGCGACCATGTTTTGCTGTGCGTAGGACCGTGGCCTCGAGCAAAATCATCAATCCATGACTGTGTCGATTGGTTTTGACGGAGGTCATTGGTTACGACAACCAGTGATGACTAATTAATACTAATTACCTTTGGCCATACGTAGCCCGTAATGCGTTAATTATTTGCGCTACTAGCATCTTCCCTTCTTTGAAAGTGGTACTTCTGACCCTCTCGCTGCAAAGCAGCATCAGCAAATATGGGCTTCCTGCTATCCCAGGTAACCGGCGTTCTTGTGCAAAGACATCCGTTCATTCATATAGTTCACGTGGTGTGCAAGTTTTTCCCGGACAAGCTGCAAATCTTGCAGTTGGCATTTTGCAAAGTGTAGGTGTTCCTAGTTTGTAAAGATGCAATGTTTCATAGGCCTATGATGTTAACGTTCCGTATATCGCTTCATATTTTGAATTTCTGAGAAGCTACTCCCATTATCTATTCTTTTGATCTCCCAAGCTGGAATTCCGGGCTTGATGTGTTGGATCCCTTAACCCTTCCATGCCTAGGGATGAGGGCGCACTCCTACAGTTGCTTGAGGAGCATTTCAAGAAGTGGTGGATCCATCCAAGGATAGAGCCCGACGCTTATGTGTAATGCTTCTGAAGCTGCAAGGCTTAGACCTTGGCCAGACAGAGTCGGTCTGGCAGCCATTGTAGAGATGGGCTGCCATTCTCAAACTGGATCTCGAGGTTCTCAGCTCCGGTAACGCGCATTGGTGTCCGTTTACAAGATTTGACGACGGGTGAGCTGCGCGCTCCTCAGACTGAAGATCAAGTACAAGTGCAGGTATGTGCAAGCTGCAGGTTCCGCAGCTACTCATAGGTGCAGAGTAGTATTACTCTCTACATTCCCACTGCTGGTGGCCGTGCACAATTTCTATGCCAATAGTGAGCAGGAACCATGACCGCATGTGTAATCTGTAACAAGTGGGACATGCGAAGTCAGGAGATGGGATGCAATCTACGACCTGGGCAAGGCATTGCCTAAAGATATCCAAAGATGGCAAATCCAAATCCTTTTCACAGTGCAAGAGTTCCATTCACGTCTTTGCATACATGAAGCCTGATGCGGTGTGATGAATGACAGGCGGCCTGGAAAAATCGGCTGCCAACAGAGGATCGCTGCCAGGTGTCCCCGGAGCATTTGCCGTCTGCTGCCTTGAGGAGACAACCTGCCCGGAAGATGGCTGGCATCTGTGCGAAGAAGCGGTAGCCTTGGTAACGAGTTTTGTGTCCTAGCTGGAGCCAGGAGATGCATGCGTGGCAGCCATGACAGCCTTGACAGGCCTCCCAACAGCTCAAAACAGCCTAGGCTCGCCCAACAGCTTTCAAGGTCTCGTACGTTTTCTGAACACTTCACCACAGCCCTCTCCTACGACATCCTCTTCCTGCATTGTTCGTGCCATGCAGGCCGCCCTGTAACGAAGGCGTTTGAAAGAACAACCCGCAACGAAGTCTCTGACACGAGATGGGTCATCTCAGGAAGAGCCAGTGGGTGGTGAACATCCTTTTTTTCTGCCAGATTGGTGCCCTGGTCCGCTGATGACTCAGAGTGCAAGCACGACGGCAAGGGCAGGCATGCCGACATGCAGCATCCCTAGTGTGATTGAGAAGGAATGACGGCATGTCGCACAAGTGCGCCCGATCTCAATTCCAATGGTTCAGACGGTGGATACTGAAAATCCTGCAAGACCCTAGGTACCTTACACCTTGGAATTTTAGGACTATAGTATACCAAGGTCATGCAGGATTCTTAGTATGAACCGGATCTCGCCGTGAACAGCTTCATCCCAACATGTACATGTTACCCTACTTATGCATAGGATGTCAGGCTCACCAGTGGGGCCATATTGCAGGTACATGCTCACGGTGAGTAACCTTGGCTCGCGCGACTCCCCGGAGCAGCCCTTGGTTGGGGAGGCAAGCTTTTTTGTCTCCTGGGTTCTGTGCTTGCAGGCTTTATTGGCTGCAAAAGTTAATTGCCCGATCCTTTTGCAACCCCAGAGATTGCTTGACGCTGTGCTTTGTGCAGATGCTTTTCACTCAGTACGGGATCAACCAATTGGACAACACGTGGCCCAGAGCAACACGATATGCTGCAAGCTCTCTGCATGATCTCCTTTGCTGGAAGCCAGTTACATGTACCCTAAGTACGCTTTGGCTTGATCTCTTTCCTCTCGCTGTTGAGCAGGTACGCCTTCGAAATGCATGCTCCGCTCTCTGCAAAAGATCAAGGCATGCATGCTCATGTGATCGTCTCAAGGCAACTGTGAATCCCCTGTCTGCTTGTCAGCCCGCTTCAACGAGATCGCAGGCTGCGGGTCATAGTCATGAAGCCTCACATGTTGCTGAGAGAGTCGTGTTTGCTGAGCGGGGTGAAGCAAATAAAAGTAGCATGGATGCCAAGCAGATCTAGCACGTGTCGGATGCCGTCACGTCCCAAAGAGATGGCTCTCACTTGAGGTGCGCGCAAGAAGGATGCCATCTCCCGGACAACTGGCCGGGTAGGAGCCCCCGAGGCCTTTGAACCTCGGGAAGCTTTTGAATACAATCTTGCACAAGAGAAGGATCTGCAAAACGTCGCAAAACAATCTTGGCACCAGCGAGATGAAGACTTGGATCGGGGATTTTGCTTCTGAGTGCAATGCAAGCATGACTTGTTTCGTAGTCCCAACATGACAGGGTCATGCTATAGAAGTTTCATGTTAGAAGGTGAGCGGATTGGTAGAATAAAGGTCAAGTGTCCCAGGCCCGGGCCTAGAGAGCCGGGCTTTTCGGCATGTTGATTCTTCGACTTGCTTTCAGGGCATCGCGACAGAAATGGCTCGCGGAAAGGCTGGCAGAGTAGCGGTTTTGGAGGGTCAGTTCCGAGCACGTGTCTAGAGAATGTCTCAGCCTCGTATGCCCAGCAGCCAGCATATCCGGTATGCGAAAGGTTCCAAGCAGCAAGCTGGACACGCTGAAAAAGGCCAAGGATTTCAAGCCGCCTACGGACCCTGAGCTTTAAATAGGAAAATTGTCAACAGCAGTTTGACAGCGAGAATTTCCCATGGCATCGTAAAACCTTTCTGGCTGATCCTTTGAACGCTTCTAGTACTCTGCTAGTTGCTCATCAGAAAAGGTAAATGCTGGGAACTGGACAGTTCCTCAAGCCTGTTCAAAAGACTATGGAGAAAGTGACAATAACTCTCAGACCTGTGAAGCCTAAGTGGGTCATGAGCCTTCGTGTGCAGCGGTGCAGTGTAGAAATCAGGTAGGGACATCAAACCTTTGTCAATCTTTGTCAGGTAGTGACGCAGCAAGTGAAAGTTGGTAGAGGTTTGTATGTGGGTGCGTGTGGCCGTGTGGCCGTGTGCCACGTGGTCCTGCGATGGCCCTTCCCAGCTCAGGATGCCAAAAGTGCAACGGATCTTGCAACTTGGCGTGAAGCTCCAGCTCCACAAGCGTAAAGACCTCTCCCACTCACATTATAGGCTGCCATCTAAGTGACGGAAGCTATTCAAGCATGAATTCTGTTCAGTATGCAATAGCGAGCTAGACCACGTGGGGTTAACAGTGTCTACAGCTGCAACTGGGGCAACGAAGCAGGTGGGAAACAGCGCCTACAGCAAGATGCTGGACAACAAAGACTTTGCCAACAAGCTAGCTTAACAAGCAGACGCGAGCAGGCGCGCAAAAAAGCAATGGGGAGCGGCGAGCTTGCAGACCCACTTGAAGCATGAATTTCGGCGAATGTTTAAAAGAGTTTGCGATGATTCCTCTGTTTTGTTGAGCTGAGAGACCTGGGAACGAGTGCCGGGGAGCTGTCAGACACGCTGTGCATTTGCTGCCGCAGGCTTGAGAACGGACAACTGGTTTTGGCAGACCTTTCGAGATAGCACAGCAAGAAAGACCAAGCAGTTACCTTGAAAGAGAGCTGAACGATAGCCTATCACCCGTATCATGTCACTAGTACGATTCCATCTGCTGGAGTCTTGAAGATCATGCCGCGGCTTGCTCGCCGCCATGGTTCAGGCAGGGTAACCCTTTGCAGGATCTCTGCAGAGCTGGGTAGGTGGGCAAGTGAGTGAGAGGCAAGAAAAAACAACAGCTTCATGTACTGCTGACGAAGATGTGCTTATGTGTGCTTGTCACTCGCATCGTTAGCGCAGTTGCAGGCTCGGCTGTCCTTTCTCTTGGCCTGCTCGTCATTGCTTTTAGTGCCGCCTGCTTTGTCTCCGGGCGGAAATTAGGCCTTGGGGTTAGCAGGTTTTTGTACAAACAGGATGCCTAGAAGAGTGCAGGAAGAACACATCCACGGATGCTGAAGAGCATGCAAGGTCTGCGGCCCACATGCTTTGAGAAAGACCGGATCTCCTGCGAATGAAGCCTGGACTTAACAATTGCTTTCCGCCTTACGGCATTGCATCCGGATGAATGCAAGGACTGCTGCACACTCCACTTCGGCCTTGTTTGCCAAGGACGTTCGCCGCTTTGGCGCCCTGGCCGAGGCTCCAGTGCTGGAGGCACAGCAGGCATGAACAAATCTGTGACAAGGTGTATACGGGTTGTTTCGGTCAGAGTATGAATTAGCTTGGAAACGCGAGGAGCTGCAAACCCAGGCGGAGACAGCTCGCCACTGGACTGAGACCAGCATTGCCCTGGCCCCGATATTCAAGAGCAGAAGTTGTCACAGCTGCGAGTGAGGAAATATCACGGAAGAAGAGTTCTGGCGCCTTGTTGGCGAAGCCAAGATCTCTGAGGCGAGCGATTTTTCCCTAGCAACAGTCTGACCTTGCTTGAGGTGTAGAAGACTAAGGAGGCTACATGGTAAGCACCATTTTTGAAGACGCACCTGGCATGCCCAGGTGATCATTGCATCCTGGAGCGGTAAGCAGCTCCTTGCTGAAGTGGAAGGTCAGGTCGCCAGCTGTTCACAGTTCGCAGGGATGCTGGTACCTGTTGAAAGGTGTGAGCATTTCTAGATGGCGGAGTTGCAGGGATAGCTTCGGGAACAACTTTTTGATGATGAAATCGTACCGCAAGGTGATCCAATGCTGATCTTGATTCTGGTACTGAAGATCTGTCAGCGCAAGAGACTGACTCTGATGCTGCTGCTGCTGCTGCTGCTGCTGCTGCTGCCGTGATGGATGGGTCTCGGGTCTTAGTGGAGAGGCACTCGCACGAACCCCCAAACTGAAATCATTCGTTTCACCTTGATTGGGGATGCCTGATGATCTTCCAGCGTTCGCCTGGTGCGAGCTGGTAGGTCGTCCAAGTGATTATGATCCCCCATCCGTCGACCATGCTGACCATCTATTCGCACAGCACAAGTATGTGCTGGCCATCTAACCTCACTGCACAGGATAAGGTTGAGTCGCATGACCACAGAAGCATGCCAGTGACTTTCGTGTGGTTCCCACGTATGGCTATATAGCTATCTCTACGTGACGCCTTTACATCACCAAGAGGACTGGATAGAACAGCGATCTAGATGACGACCCATCCCGGAGGCTCACTACGACCTTTCTTCTTTTGGGAATCTGGACTCATGCTTTGATCGCCCAGTGGCTCCTCACCAGTGCCTGCCATCGCTACTGTAGGAGTGCTGCTCTACACATAGTCACTAGTTGGCACATTTACTTTGATCACTGATTGTGCGAAAGTTTGTCAGCCTACGGTTGCGAGTGCTCGATCGCACTTTGATTCTCAACCCGGCTCAAAGAGCGGCAGACATCCTGACCCCTTCAACCTCACAGGAGAGCTCGTGGCAGTTGTGGAAGAGAGTGAGGCCTAGCAACGGATGGTTGGAATGGCCAGCCTTTTAGCCTTTGTGCCAGGTGGAGGACCTCCGGAATGAGCTCATGGTCCGTGGCATTCCTGTCCAAAACTTAGCAACCTTTGGACAAGTCTGTCTTGACTGTAAATTCGCAATGACCTCATGGGTCAGGTGCGATATCCAGCTGGAGAGGTTGGCTGCGCTGGTGGTGATTAGACATGTTTCTGTGCCACTGACTAATACCCGGCCAGGAGTTGAGCGAAGAGGAGGCACTGGCACAAGCCGAGCCAGAGCCTTGCCTGGGTGTAAAATTGTAGAACACATGGTGAGCCGCCAAGGCTAAGCTCCGAGGGTGTGGCGCTGAGCAGCTGAACAGCTACAGCATGCTACAACTGAAGATAGCTCAAACGGTTTGAGCCGCAGAGGTCCAGTTGCCAGCGGGCTTCTGTCAGCCTTGGCAAGCTGCTCAGTGATAGAGACTGATAGATACTGTGTATGATTGCAAAAAAGTGCCGCAGCTGCCGTGATTAGCCGCCAGTGTCATAGAGGGGTCTGTCGAGGCACTTGGAATTGCAGACAGCTTGATAGAGAGACTTGGCGGCACATGGACGGATCTGCACGTTGACACGGCGAGCTTAGAATGACAGCAGCCTGGGATACACATCGACTTACTCAAGTCCTTGTGCACACGTCCTGGAAACTGGGCACATCTATCTGTGTCAGATGTGAGTGCGCGTATTGGGAAGCCCCTTGCGTGTAGTTCAGCTCATGCAGTCGACAACCCATCCTCTGAGGATCAGTGCCTCCGTGGCGGTCCCTGCATTGGAGGTGGAAGGCAACACAGTTGCCCAAAATTGACTCCGCATGTCACCGCATGTTTTGGTGGGACAGCCCGGTCATACCTTAGAAGTTGGGCCCCTTGGCTATGTCAGATCTCGTCGCATGAACGAGTTCTTCGCAAGCTAGCGGAAACCATGGACCCTGAGTGACCCCGAGAGCTCCTTCCCGAGGCAGACATGAGAGGTTCGGCCAGACAGGGCATGTGAAATGTAGAGCGTTCTGCTTGTTAGATGGTTGATGGCTGAGACCATACTGCAAGCTCAGCACAAGAGGAGGGGTAGAGTGTTGTAGATGATTGCACCAGTGCAGGCCAGTCCATCTTCGAGGCAAAGCCGCCAGATGCTGTCATGGCAGAAGACATCGGGCTGCTGAACAAGGCCTGTCCTGGCAGCTCCGGTCTCTCAGGACAAACATAGCTACTGTCAAGTCCATCCTACGGAGGACCTTCGCATCCTTGGTCGGGCAGTGGAGGGTGTTGAACGATCTGTGGAGGCTGACTTCCAGGCAAAGACGGAGAGTTCCGTGGAGTCGTATATGTTGCATGGTAACCTTTTCAAAAGCCATTCTTGATGCCAGGCTGCTGAGAACATGGCGTCGCGCGAGGCGCACGCACCTTTGGAGTTGCTTGCTAAACCATCGTTCACCTGTGCTGACAGCCTTGAGCTTTGCTCCATTTGCTCCCTTCGTGTGCCATTTGTGCCCAAGGGTTGGTAGGCCTAGTCATGGACACGAGAGCAGAATCCAGTAATGATTATTCAGCCCTCCCGGGTGTGTATGTTGTCTAGCTTCGAAGCGAATTAATTATTGGAACCACAGGCTGGGAGGCACTTCATGCTCTGGGCGTGCCAGTCTTTGGAGGTGTCTTGCGAGATCCGCTAGTCCCAATATTCATGTTGACCAATGCTGAGTTTATTCATTCCCGGCTGCGCAATGCCTTTCTAGAGCGAGCTGCGCAAGCACCAGCTGCTGCTGCAGTCGGGGGATGGACTAGACGGGGAGAGATGGGCAGGGTCACATGATGCCACAAGTCTAGATTATCTCTGGATTTACCGAACCCTACGGCGGGCGTTTGGTTTCTAACATAGTGCTGGCTTCTTGTTCTGCAGCGCGCAAGCCCTTTAAGTCTCAGCTTGTGGATCTGGCCCGCGTTGCATGATGGCGGACGAGGTCACTGGGCCAAAGTGTTGTCTTGAAGGGCCAGTGAAGGGTTTGCAGCCGTTGCCTGGGTGTTCTGTGAAGGGTTTGCGGCCGTAGCCTTCTGAAACACACGTGGGCCTTAAACATGTACCTAATTTGGGGTGATGCTCTAAATTTAGAAATATGCGAGCTACGAATCGGGGGTAAGCCCCCCCCCAAATAGTTACATTTCTTCTGCCGTCCCTTCGCAGAGGTAAGGAATGGGTCACCCTCCCAACTCCCTCCCAATATGCATTTCCGCGTTTTGCGCTGTCAGTTTTGGATAGAGGCTGGGACTTTTCGGCTGGCCGATGCTTTCGACGGTGAAGCCCTATCCCCAAGACCCCTAAACCCAAGGGCCCCTAAATCATTAAAACGCCTTGCGCGCTGAAAACTTGAAAGCCAACGTTACCAAACCCCAAGACCTTTAACCCTACAACCACGAGCCCTCAATCACCTGAACCCTCAACCCCAAAAACACCTTAATCCTACGATCTCTGCGCCCTGAAGCAGTTACAGAAACGCTGAACACCACAAACCCTAAAATCTTTCTGCTTCCGCTAAACCCTAAAAAACCTAAACCTTAAATTTCCCAAATCCCTAAGGCATCCAAACCCTGACGTTAAACAAAAAAAGCCACTTAACGCTTGAACACCTAAACCTGTAGAAGCCCTTACCTAAAAACCCTAGGCCCCAACAACGGCCCCAAACTCCAAGACTCCTGCACCCTAACCGCCTTAAATCCTGTAACCTAGGAAAACCTAAGCCTGTAATACTCCTCCCCCTAAGCCTTTGGACCCCGCAACCTGAATTTTCACTCGACACCCTAAACCCTGAGGCGCAAAACGTTAGCAGCTTTTATGTTCAGAAGGATTTTTAGGGTTTGCTGTGTTTAGCGTCTAGGGTTTCAGTAACATGCTGGGGTTCAGGTGATTGAGGGCTTCGGGTTTGTGGGTTCGTCAGGATTTGGGCTTAAGGCTTTAAGGGCTTTAGGGGTTAGGGAGTCCAGGGCTTTTAAGAGGGCAAGGTGTGAATGTGCCTGGTAACTTCACCACTTGAATAGCTGCCCTTTGGCCTCAATACCGAAGAGTCAGTTAGACAAGCCTCAGCCGGCAAGAGTTTCCAAAGAGATAACGGCAGATGAAATGCAACTTGAGGGGGTCCGACCTGGGGGGGCTCCAGCATTAAGAGCGGGCTGTGGAAGCCGCATGTAGCGCATAAGAAATGTAACCCGGGGGTGTCCCAGCGACGAAGCGCGAATCAGAAATGCAACCAGGGGGGTCCCCCGCACCCCCCTTAGTCTACAAATCCTTGCTTGCAATTAGTTACTTTCATGTCAATTTTGATGTAAGGTGCTCTCTGCAGAGGCTGCTGGCGGCGGAACATACTATCAGTGCTTGGGTCAGAGATAAGTACTGCCAGACATGTCTCTGTATGTGGTGGTCCCCGCAGGATGTCGTTCAGCTGGCTGTTGCTGCTGCAGATTTAGGGGGAGGGCCTATGTTTTAGTGTTTTTTTTGTTTTACTTTTTGTTTTTCCTTTTGGGTGGCTTCGCGGCTTCCTGGCTTCTTGCCTCCGGATTGTTGGCTTTGTGATGCAAATCGGGGGCTGCGCACCCCCCAACCCCCCCACTTTGTCTTAAAGTCAAAACGATGCTCGAGAAACCTTTCGTTTAGGTTACTACTGCTAATTAATGTTACACCTATAGTTTTATTATTATTGCTAGGACCATTATTATCATGAATGAAATTATTATTGCTATTACTATTGCTCTTACTATTACTATTCCTATTAGCATTACTATTATTACTATTCTTGGTGTTATTCCTATTGACTTTCTATGAACAAGCATTTTGCATGAACCCACCCTTTTTTACTGCCATCCGTGCTCATGTTCTTCTCATTATTTTTCGGTTTTCATAGCTTTACATCATTTTCCAACATTAGGTTTGATTTTTTTTCGCTTTCATCGTCTTTCCAGCATTTTCATCATTTCCAGCATCTTTCATCATTTTGCATCATGTTCACGGTGTTTCTTCATGATGTTTCGTTTTCTATCGCTTTCATTGTTTCTATATAATTTTCCTGGAATTTTCATGATTTTTTCAATTGTTCATCATGTCTCCTTTTGTTTTCCTAATGTTTTATCATTTTCCGTATGTGCTATCATTTTGCTATAATTTTCATTATTTTGATATCATTTTCCAGTACTTCATGATTCTTCTCAATTTTTCAACATCTTCCCATAATCTTCCTAATGTTTCAACATGTTTCATCATTATTCATTATGTTTTGCCATTTGTCTATCATTGTCATCATTTTTATTTTCCTTGTAGTTTCATGATTTTTCTCAATTTTTCATCATTCTCTGTAATTTTCCTAATGTTTCATCATGTGTCATCATTTTCAGATTTTTTTCATTACGTTCTATCATTTTTTATCGTTTACATAATTTTCCATTATTTTCATGATTTTCTCAATTTTTCATGAGTTTTCATCGGTCTACACCGTTTGCGCTTCAGAATCGCGCTCTCGTGTGAGGCTTCCTTCGATTCCAGGCCCCCAGCCACCAAAAAAAAAGACTACCACCACCCACCCACCCACCCCCCCCCTCCCTCCACCAACCAAAAAAAACAAAACAAAACAAAAAACAATACAAACACACACACAAACTACAGCCCTTTAGGGGCTCCCAGAGCAGTCCTTGCAGACTACCCTTAATAATCAATGATGATGTCGACAATGAAAAAGCTGACTCTCAAAGATGGCTAGGATTTTGGGTGTCGCCCCGGATGCCAGCTTCGATGACATCAAGCTACAGCCGCTGGGAAGCAAACGCCCCTTGTAGAAGAACTACAACACAGCTATAGCGGAGTGAGTAGGGACGCTTTTGTCTCTTGGTTGAAAGCCCCAACCCCAGGCTGCGAAGCCTAGGTACAAAGAACCATCCCAGAACCGTCGGCTCCCGATTAACACGTGTTAACACAAATCTGGCTTGGGACTTTGTCTGTCCAAGGTATCGGAAGCTAGCCAGGCACTCAAATGTCAAGCTTCACTTGAGGCTGCTGGCAGGACTTGCACTTCTTCCTGCGGAGACTTCACGCTGAAACTCAGCCCTCAACGCCGAAACTGAGGCTACTGTAGTATGTAGTTCTCCAGAAGCAATGTGTGGAATGAGAAAGTTCACGCAACGCTGCGGCTGAGGCCTTGAAGCTACATCCAGCAACTCGGTTTGCACCAGTGAATCTGCCAGAGTAAAGCAACAGAGAGGTTTTCAGATCATCACGTGCTGTAAAAAGTGGCAGGCCACTTGCATGCTTGCTCTTCCATGACTGGTTTGACTGCGGTTCGTCCGCCGCAGGACAAGAACCAGAATGATCCGCAAGCCACGGAGAAGTTTCAGGAACTGCAGGAAGCCTATGAGGCGACAGTTTTGTTTAGGCCATCAGATGTGCACATTGTCGCGCTGTCTATGTTTTGAGTGGAATGCTTGGCTGAGATTACTGTAGAAGCCTCTCATTTGTTGGAAGTTGTTGGTCCCAAGTGCGTCAGAATCGGAACCTGCGGGAGGTACTGTCAGATCCAGAGCGACGATCAGCTTATGATCAAAACAGTGACTTCATCATGAGCGGGGCCGTCTTGCCTGGATTTGTGCATGTGGTAGGGCAAACCTTTCTCCCGTCTGGTTTGTGATCCCAGCATGCTCGCAGGAAGGCCTTCGCGGAGTCCACAGGCCAAGCTGAAGAGCAGGAGTGGAGTGGGGTTTGAGGTGGAAGGTGTGTCCGTGGGCTAAGTGCAAGGTCATAGCTACACAGATGACACATGACAACATGAGGCCAAATAACGTGGGGCCCGCTTTAGTTTCTTGGCCCCCCGTCAAAGAATTAGAGTTTACCTTCTTTGGACAGTAATTATGCCTAGGTGGCTGGGTCAATCTGGTGGCTAGTACTACGCGCCCTGGTACTAGCGGTAGCAGAAGTACTAATGCTAGCATTGTGGCTCATAGTACAGTACTGCTACTAACAGTAGCAGTAAGTAGGGAGCCTGAGATTGAGCTTAAGAGGGAACCTTAAACTGCCTTAAACTAATCCTCTTCTAGATGAATCAAAGTTCAACAAACTAATCAACCAAACACAGGCAAGGGGATGCCGCACGGGGGATGAACAACAGGTGCCATTCTGCATAGTTCAGCGCTTTGCAACCATGGAGCATGGACCCCCCCATACATGTGTGGACGCCGTTATGGACTGATGATGGTAGTCTCTCTACTTAGCCCTTTGGAGGTAAGCAAGTAGTTGTTGCTCGCTTGAGGAGCCGTTTGGCATAAGCCCAGATACACGCAAGTACGCAGAGCTCACACACTAGAAATTTGCTGCGTCCGCAAGCTCAAAGTGAACAAATTAGTTTTGAAGCTTCATATTTAACGA